GCCGCTCCGCTCCTCCGCCTTTAGCACCCAAATTTCTCTTCCCAATATTCCGACCGCAGCTACACAACAAAAGCTTTCTCTTTACCAAGACAGTAGTAATACGTCCCAGGGTAAACCGGATGTGAAATAGGCTGTGACTTCATGCCAGAGAGATTTTATTTTAGAAAGGAAGGTGGTACCAAGCTCTCATCTAGAGACCAATCCGCCCATTTTTTATATGCAGCACAATTTAACTTCCAGTGCTCTCGCCCTAATCCCTTTCTGGCTGCAGGCTCAAATCCTTCTACAATCTGCAGCATTATTGTTGTCTGGGGGGAGGCTGTACGGCTGGGGGCGGCAGGCTGCGCTGGGAATCTTTTCACACTCGCAGTTTACAAAACAGTCTATTTTGGGGGCCGTGCATTAAAAATACAACCGATCCGCGTTAGCATTCAACCTTTGATCAAATATTTAATCACGGCATAAATATGAATGAAGGCTGACTTGGAAACGTAGAGGATGCAGCAGTGCGTGCGTGTGCCCGTAGACCCTACACACCCATACGGGCAGGGTCGTAGCCTGGGGATGTAGCCAGGGATGCTTTGCAATCGCAATTAAACGCAGGTAACGTGCGTTTTGGAGGGGGGAGGGAGGGGGAGACTCAGAAGAAATTGGCTTCAAGACCTGGTGGCTCTCCCACACAGTCACATACACACACACATGGTTCGGGGGGGATAGAGGGGGTAGGACACACACGTTTGAACAGAGCGGGCTCTGCTCCGAAGGGGCTTTGCTGGAGGCTTTGGCTGTGGCGCTGCCCTCCCCGCTGGCCCCGCACGGCCCCGGGGGAGCTCCTGCTCTGGGGCACGATGCTACAGGAGGAGCGGGTGGGAGGCGGGAGGTGCGCGGAGGCGTCGGGGCACCGGGAGCGTGGCACGTAGCCTCTCCGGCCACAGCTTACCACCACTTTACCTCAAGACACCTTTCATCAGCGCCACGCCGTCTGCAGAAACGTCGAGCGCCACTGACTGCCACGAGCGCAGCGTGTTTAGGGTCTTAGCCTCCCCTTTTTTCCCACTCATGCCATCCTGAGTCCAGTTCTGGTTGCCGCCTATGATGCTGCTCCAAGGCAGGTCAAAATCCATGTATTTCATCAGAGGTACCAGAGCTGGGTCCCTATGTTTCTGGAAAACTAGCTTTTGCAAGCTTTCTCCACATTTTTCCATGAGATACTGCCCATTCTACACATCTTCACAAAATACATTATTTGTTTGTCTTTGTAATAGCGTGAGAAGGATTTGATTTAACCTAGCAAGCCAATGACATTCATAGCTAAGGCTGGCAATAACTTCCAAGGTGGCAGTCATTTTGGATAAATGCCTGACTTATCACAGTCTAAACGCTGCAATGACTTCTCTAAGTACAAGGAAAACAGAGATTTTGTTTGCCAAAGTCTCCTGGTGCACTAAGGTCCCCCTGTCGTTATGATCAGCACTGAATAGCCACACGCTATTTTTAAGAGATCTATGATGAACTTTTTGCTTAGTTTCCTGCCATCTCCAATGTAGCTCATCTCATTTTGATTCAAGGTTGTTTGTACCACACAGAAAAGTAGGGAACAGAGAAACCTACTGACTTCCCAAAGGAATTATAAGTGGCGACTTTTCAGATCACTAGCATGCAGCCACACTCTTAGCAACTGGAGGTATTTTTCCAAATACGTTTCCACTTTTGTGTGCCGTTGGATAATGTAGTTTACTATGTTTTCATTCTTGTAGTGAGTGTGGGATAGTTTTGCTTAAGCAACAAGTAAGTTGAATCCTTAGATGAGTTTACAAAAGCAATGCAAAGGCTTTTTATTCAAGCATGTGGAAGATGTGTAGCTATAAAACCTTTGAGATTACTTGCATGACCTTGTGTATGTGTGTGTATGCACTCTTAAACCATTTTTTTAGGTGAATAGTGTACATGTGTGAAAATAAACAAATGTTAAATGTTGCCCCAGTATTTCATTTTCCCCTTTATTTCCCATGACCAAATACATTCTAAGTGCGTTTGCTGTACGTGTCTCTCTATGAATAGATACGTAGATATATACATAGACAGACAGAATGAAAAGTGGCTAGAAGTTCGCATATAGTGCGTTTGCCTTAAAGTCTGTGCAAATGGGCAGCTGAAGTAGTTTCAGAGCCAGTGAGATGTAACTTTACAGTCTCTCTCTTCTTGATTTATTTTAATTAGCTTATAAACAATAGCAACTATTTTTATTTTAGTAGAGTGCCTCGGGTTGCAAGGGTGGTCTCTGCCTCCATAGCATAACTGCAGCATGCCAAAGGATGACATGGTTTTTTGGGTTCTCCCTGAGTGAAGATATTGACCTAAAATAGGAAGTTGCTCGTTCCCTCTCTAATTCTCATCTCTTCAGAAAGTAGGACAAAACTATTTTTCCTTCATGGCTGAGATTGCTGCCCATCAGTGCTCACACGTAACCCAGATTTTCCCTTTTCTTTTCAAGGGCTGTTATCATAGTCATCATGTCATTTCATAGTAAATGCTAAAAATATTTAGTTTTAATCAACCAAATAATAATATGGATTGTGGTAACAAAATAACTGGCTTTTAAGAAAGAAGCTACAAAAGAAAACACCTAGTTTTTTAAAGACAAGATAATTAGTTGTTATCAACAGGAACGTACATTCGAAGAAGTGCTGAGAGAGATGTCTTCTGCAGTTCTTGTTTTCTTTCCCTTTCCTGCCCAATCCCACTGACCCAACCCAAGCACCACTAAGGTTAACAAGTTTTTCAAACAGGTCCATGAGAGTTTGATGCCAAATCTGCGGGGTTTGGGCTTCTAACTTACAAGAATATTTTTGAAAATCTCAACCTATATCTAGACATATGTACCTTAGTAGCACTTCTTAGGGCCGTGTTATTTCATTTGGAAAAGGATTTCTCAAACGAGTAACAAAAGAGGCATTTGGACTGAATGTCTCCAAGCAGCTAAATATTAGCTGATGTGCATCTCATTACGTGGTTTTACAGTTACGTTTGGAAAATAAAGACGTCAGGAAGACCTATGTTGTTTTCAAGCCAGTGCTACTACTCCAGGAAGTTTTCAGGAGGAGGTTATGTCATTCATGTCATAAAATAGTGTAGCCGCTAAATCCTGCAAAAACAATATTGTTAAATCTAAACAGACAACCAACACTAACTTGGCACAGCTGCTGTGGGCAATGCTTTGAGCACTAATGTTAGTGCAAGTGATTAGTAACAGTGGAGTTAAACCGATGGAATCCTATTTTGGTTAAATAAATGAATTAAATAGTGGATTCAAACTCACATAGACACAGATTGTTAGAAATAGTTGGAACTCCTAATTTCCCATTATTCCCTGCTTTGGGATTTCTAGTAAAAACTTTTAGAAATCTGACCTGTTGCTTCGGTGCCTGCTGATCTCTAGATCACACACAGAACACACCCTCTCTCTGTATATATACACATGTATTTACTTATGCCTATATATGCTTGTGTATATATGTGTATGTATATACAGAAAAACACATATATTTATACAGGTCACTGTAGCAGAAATTTGTTTTCAATATTGTGCTTTTATCACATTGATGTAGTTCTTGTCTGTGAGTGCAAAATATACATATGTTTTGCTTAAGTTAAGGAGTGTGTATCAAACAACCGAAATTCCACAGCGGAATCCTCTCACACGATGTGTCCTGAATAGTCAAAGGATTTGATTAAAGCAAATGAAACTCAGAGATTTACTAGCACCGAGCAGATCAGACAAAGAATTAAAACAGAATGCCCATCTGTTCCAGAGCTTTGGACTCTGTTATTTACAAGTCTTACTTGTGTGATTAAATAGAAATCTGTTGTTATATATATCGTCTGGATTTGATTTGTCATTTAATGTACTTCAGGAATAGACCAAAGAACAAGGACTGTTGCCCTTTTGGCAGGTACAAGGAAATTTGATTCGTTAAACCACCCCCCCACACACACACACACACCTGTAATTTACAGCCATAATAAAGAAAACAGGAAATATCTCTGGGATTTAATGTTTTCATAAAAGGCACATGGTGAATTCAAATGAAAGTTACTCACATTATGCCTCTGGTCTATTCATTGCCTCTTTCCTCTTCAGAAATGAATAGAAAGTGAAGAACTTCAGAGGTTATACAAGCAGGAATCTGCATGCAAACAAGTTGCTCTACTTCCAAAGAGTCAATTGGAGGTACAATGAACATTGAAGAAATACGAATGTTCTTTCTAGATCTGTGTTGAAAACTGAAAGTGGCACTCATTTGAGCCTTTTATCTATTAAAAATGGAATAAAAACGTAACATAGCTGGTGCTCAGAAACTTAGAAATGATGATTGACTTGAATTTTAAAATTTCTAAATACAATATTTCAAACAGAAAACCCAATTACTTACAAGTTTTTCAGGCTCTCTGATCCATAGAGACAACAATTTATTATGCCATGCGGTTGCCAAACATTACCACAAAGTTCAATCTTTAAAGCTAGAAATGTAGGATTCTTTCCCAGATAATAATAGCATTTCTTGCCTGATGTCAGAAAGGAAGAATGGAATGATAATCCATTTCCTAAAAAAAGAAAAAGAAAAATTGTAGAATTAATGAAAGCAACCAGAAAGAACAAAGTTCATGCTGGGGAGCTTGTAGGGATTACAAGATCTTTGTAAATCCAGTGAAGATCACTGATGAGATCTTTTTCAGGGAGCTTTTCCTACAACAGCTGGATTTGTGTATGATGGAGTACAAACACTTCATGTCTTTACCCTAAGTCACTGCAGGGAGAGGGAGGGTGTTCCTGCCACCCTGACCCTGCCGCCCTGTCACTTGGTCACACTTCAGAAATGTGTTTTGGGGCTCACTGGTCTTCCTGCTCTGCATCTGAAAGGAAAGATTTGTTTGTGCCTCAGACCTTGCAATTATGACTGGCAGTTCAGCCATATTCCTGCTAACGAATGAGCTGCCCTGTAATTTCATATTTGCTTAAACAGCCGTATTGATCCATAATCACGATTTGTCCAAAAATCAGATAGAGTGAAACCTGTTTAAACAGAAGAAGCTCTAGACAAGTCAAAGTTCCTGAAGTGCTATGTTAAGATTTTTTTTCCTGTTGAAGAATAACCTAGCTATAGAATGTCTAGTGTACTAATGAGCCCTTGCTACTTGGGGATATACAGAATAAGTGAATATGCAAAGAAAATAAGGAAAGTAAAGTAAATC